TGGTGGTTTTACGTGCCAAATCAACGGCGGGCATCCGGCACGCCCCAGCGGAGGACTGAGGATTAATTTGGACCACCTGGGGATCTTTCGACGTGCAACCGAAAGCTCGGTTACACGGCGCCTTCCCCACAATAAGCCTCCGTCATACTGCGGGGACCTCGGCCGGGATTCGAACCCGTCACATGGGGATCCGTAGGCCACCGCTCTCGCCTCGGAGCCACCGAGGCGGCTAGCTACTTAACTAACAAACCTCATGTAGCTATATATTTTTATTTTCGAGGGTATTTGAGGAATTTGCGTCCTACCCCAATACGATCTTGCAGTGCCATGAAATTCCGGTTAAGAAATGGATAATGGGCTCTACGAGGCGAGTAATATTGCGTACACGACCTCAAACTAAAACTAGGCGGTCAAACAATGGCGTCATCGCAGCCGGCTTCCCCTACAGAGTCGGGCGAGCAGAAGGATCGACATGACTGGCGCTCTTGGTGCTCTTCGTTTCGGTTCCATGCCGAGTACAAGGGGAACATTTCTCGCACCGCTACGAATGTTTTAATAAAATTTCACGGCACTGCTAGACCGTATTGAGGATCGAGCCTCAAAATGCGTTGAAAATGAAAATGTAAAAAGTTAATTAAAATGTTTTAGTTAAGTATCTCTCTACTTGCTACTTTCACCTTTTTCTGATGACCACCAGTGCCATTAACTTGGCCCCAGGGCTAAAAGAAAACACAAAAAACAATGCAAGTTTTCTTTAAAAAAAATGCTGAACCGATTAAAAGAAACATGATGTGTATGATGTATTAGGGTACGTATGTATATCTATATTTTTTTTAAGTGCCAGCGCTGCTTATAGTAAAATAAAAATATGCGCTAGGTTTAAATGGAAAGTTGGAGAAGAAAAAAGAAGTTTGGGCGTCTGAGCAACGCATTTTGAATGAGTCGGTTTTCCGGCTCCCGTCACGAGGGTCAACCGAGGGCAAACCAGCAGTGCAACGATAGAGGGAAAGGAGGGTTAGATTAGGGTTAATTCCTCCGTCGCATAGCCGTCCACGCGTTCCCTGGCGTGCAAACAAATGCGCGGGGGCGCGCACGCCTACACACACACATGCGCACGCACACGGCACAAGCACGCCCCCAACGAAAATATAAAAAAATACGAGCAGACGGACACGAACGCCTAAACGAAACAGGGCCCCGTCGCTTTGTATCGAAAACGCCACGCACTTTTTAAAACCACCGTCACACTGCTCGAACGTTGTAAAAAAGACACGGCGTTCGGAGCAGACGTGATGGCAGAAACTCATCCAGATACGCCTCACGGATGTTCAAGACGGCCATGTTGCTGCTACACACACCAGCAGCAAGATGACGCCGCCATCTTGCTGCTGGTGCGTGTAGATCGTCTGATACAATCATGGCACTGCTGAGGCGTATCCATGGTTACCAGACTGGCGCCCGAACAAGGCGTTTTTCATCCACGGTGGCCAGACCAGCTCTCCGACAGAGTCAGCAGGCTGTCGGGTGTATGATGTGGACGCAGTGGGATCCTATAGCTCAAAACCGCGGTCACACCGAAACGGCAACATTAATCATTGCACGTGCTGGTGTCCCAGTTTACCTTGATTTTTCCGTAGATTAGAGCTTGTTCTTCTTGCTGATGACAATGTGTGTTGTTTCTTTTTGGCGAGCAAAGTTTGCACTGAAACTCTAGGTTTACTCCATGACCGAAAACTCGACCAGCCAGAGAAAAAGTGGCGGTTACGGGTTAATCCGTACCCTTGAAGCGGATGCTCTTAGCCTCGCGCCGGGCGCTTTTCAGTTTTCAGCCATGCCTCAAGAGCGTGCTAGAATACAGTAGCGCACGTCAAAGACAAGGAGAATTCGACGACAAAGAGAATTCGACGCCCTCGCGTCTTTTACGCGAGTTGTACCGGGTCCGCATTCGCGGCGAATCGAGGGTGTACGGACCCGCGTTTGATGTCTGTGCAAGTGGCGGGAGACGTCGAGGATCTTGGAAAGGGTGAAACGGTGTAAAACACAAAAACAAATAAACATGAAAAGCTTTCTCCCGCCCGGGAGAAGAAGAAAACACGATGGAGGGCGACGGAGAACTTACTCGGCGTTGTCTTACTTGATCTTTGTCTTTCGTATATTAGTACATGCCGTGCCCGTTGTTCTAGTGGTTCTAGTGCCTGGTCATACAAAAAATCGTTTTTTTTTTTTGCTATTCTCCCCTTTCTGATGTTTTCTATTTTGTTGAGCTTGCTCTCTTAATGCTGCTGAATGTTCTGCTTGTATTGCTCCAGTTACCGTATTATGGTCATATGAAAGAAAAAAAAGTAACGAGTAATTAAAGTAATTTCTTACCAATATTTTATAATAAAATTAAATAACAAATTACTTCTGAAAAAAAAAAGTAACGTGCCCATTACAAAATTACTTGAAAACCTAACGGACTAGAAGTAATCCGTTACTTGTAACGGATTACTTCCTAAGTCTGCGTTGAGGTCGAAAGAGCGAATGACCATTCCGTGACGTCATGGACTTTGCGCGCAGAATTTCAAATAAGTCTCTCGCCGTCAATATCGCCCTACATTTTTTTTCGCGTAATTGTTTTTTTTTTTTTTTTACACGCCTGTCCCAATTAAACTGTTAAAACATTTTTTTTTTCGTTTCAGGGGCCCTTTAAGTCATTTTTGTAATATATTGTTTGGCATGTCTTTAGTTTCGAAATATTTGTGCGCAGATGTGACTTCTTTATCATGTTTGTTTGGAGTTATGTTTGGCGTGTCATGTTTGTTGTTTTGCATTTTGCTATTTTGCAAACTTGGTTATATATATGACAGCTTCGTCTGTCTAACGTTCTTCCTGTGCGTTCGCCAAAGGGTCTTGAAATACGCTCAAGATTGATAAAGGATGAAAACCGCCGGTGGACATGGGGCCAAGGAGGAAGTTTTTTAACACTTTTGTCGTTTATCAAAATCGAAGTCCTCAACGCGATATTAAACTGATCAGCATACGTTTAAGGACTCCATATCTTGAATTCCTATTAAAGTTTGGTGATATATGATCAAATCAAAACAGCCAATTATTACCAAAACACAGAACGGAACAGAAATTGATGATCCATTCGAAATTGACAGCTCATTCAACAAATACTTCTCATCCGTGTATACCACGGATAATAACCAAAATCCAACCATAGAATTCTCACCGAAAAGCATTCCGAGTGTTAAAATATCTAAAGAAGGCATTTTTGCAGCATTGCTTAACCTTGATACTAAAAAATCTGTAGGACCAGACATGATTCCAAACATTTTCTTGAGACGGTATGCGGAATCCTGCTCAAATTTCTTGCTTGTAATTTTTAATAAGTCAATTGAATTAGGGCAAATCCCCGACGATTAGAAAACTGCAAAATAGTCCCAATATTCAAAGTTGGAGATTCCCATCATGTTAATAACTACCGCCCAGTATCAATTTTGAGCAGCAGTGCAAAATTGATTGAGCATATTTTGTTTAAGCATATCGTCTTTTTTCTTGAAGATAATAAGTTTTTCAATAAACATCAACACGGTCTTAGACGTAATTTATCTACAGTTACGCAACTGGTGCTCACTGTGAATGATTTCGCAAAGTCAATTGACTCCGGATATCAGACGGACGTAATTTTTATAGATTTTGCAAAAGTGTTTGACCGCGTGCTTCACGGAAAACTACTCTTCAAACTGAGATCGTTATTAAACAATGAACAGATATTAAAATGGTTAGAAGCATATTTAAATAACAGAAAACAGTTTATACAAATACAAGATTCCTGCTCATCCACATCAAAAGTAAAATCTGGAGTTCCTCAGGGATCAGTTCTTGCACCCCTACTTTTTCTAATTTTTATAAATGACATTACAGTGGACAGATCCGTTCAAATTCGCTTATTCGCCGATGATTGTATAATTTATAAGCAAGTCAAATGCTCAAATGGCCAAGTAATCTTAAACGAAAGTTTAGAAATGATCTCAGAATGGTGTGATGATTGGAAAATGTATCTAAATAACCAAAAATGTGCACATATGACGGTAACTAGGAAAAAAAACAAAAAAAACACTGAATTTTAATTATAATCTTCAAGGAACAGCTTTAAATACGGTATGTGAATACAAATACCTAGGATTAATCATAACTTCAGATCTGCGTTGGAACTCACATATTGACTTTATCTCCCGAAAAGCAATGAATAAAAATATGGGCATTAAAAAGGAAACTGAAGGACTGCTCGAGCAAAACGAAACTAATGGAGTACAAAACGTTTGTTAGATCTGTACTCGAGTATGCCGACGCTGTGTGCGATCCCTACACAAAATGTAATATTAACAAATTAGAAAGAATTCAGAAGAAGACATTAAGATTTATATTTAATAAGTATGGCAGAAACACCTCGATTTCGGAGCTTTATGTACAGGCTGGCCTTCCGCTTTTAGAAAAACGTAGAAAGATCAATCGGCTGAAATTTATTTTTAATCTAATAAATGGGAAGTACAACTTAGATTATCAAGATTACTTTCACTTCAACACATCTAGGGTCACAAGAAATAAACACAGTAAATAAATCACTGAAATAAAGTACAGGACCGACTGTTACAAGTACTCTTATTTTCCTCGTACTATCCATGCCTGGAATGCGTTACCCGAACAAATTGTCTCTTCAAATTGTTTAACGTTGTTTCTAGCATTGATAAACGAATTAATTACCAAAGTTTTGAGGTTTCAGGCCTTGATACCCCTTAAACGAATATTTTTCTGCTCTTTGTGTGTTCGTGATTATATATGTAAAGTTTATTTTTCTTGTTTTGTTTTGTTTTTGTTTTGCTGCGCTGCCACACTCTGTGCTTGCTTTTTCGTAAAACTTGATCCATGTACCCCTCCTACCTTGGCTGCCCTACGGCGGCCGGTGGTATCAATAAATAAAATAAATTAAAATAAAATAAACTCTTTTGCAGCAAACCGTCTCGTGGACGATGGTTTTAGAACGGTTATTGACTCTCACAGTCGTCACCACACGTAAGTGAGCGTCTTCATTTTTTGTTTTTCTGCTAAGAAAAATTGCATTTAGACGAGTTTGCATAGGGCTCCGTGTTTTTCTTTTTTTATATGTATACCGATAAACCCCGAAAAGTGGCCCCCGAGCTGATTATTACATAAATCGCGGAAAATTTAGAAAAATCCTGGTTGAAGCCGTTCCTGAAGAAAGAACTTCCCGAAGCTTCATGGGAAGGAAGCGTCGATAAACGCCGACATTTTATTTGACAGCAAAAAAGATACACAAAAAATATGCAGAAATAAAACATAGAAATACACTCCCAAATTCAAAAGCAAATAAACCCCCCTTCCCCCCCCCCCCCCCCCCAAAAAAAAAAAAAAAAAAACACAGAAAGTATGCAATGATAATGTAGTGATTGCGCAGGCGAGCTGGTGGATGTTAACCATTTTGTTCTTAGCCCGAGACTAAGGCAGGAAAAGAGGAAAGTTTCAAAGTAGAAGAAAAATAGAGACGTGTCCTCGACTGTTCATTTTTCTTCTACTTTGAAACTTTCCTCTTTTCCTGCCTCAGTCTCGGGCTAAGAACAAAATAGAAAGTATGCGCTCGTTTTCAACCGCAGCAGAAAGTCGTCCGGCTCCTCGCGGAACATTACTAATTTCCTCGCTTATTTAGAGAATTAAGATATATGTGGGTGCATTTAAGATTAGATCACATATGTTACCCTATCAAGCCGTGCACATTTCAAAAGTCAAAAGCATCGCCTCTTTTTTGGAGAACCAAATCTTCTAAGAACTACTTGGCGCAGCGTAGGAACAATGCGCAAAACATCCTTTCCTCTTGAGGCGCTCAACATAGACCTCTTTCAAAAGTCCGCGCCATCCTTTCCTCTTGACTAGCGCGCAATATAGTGAAAAATCTGCGCCAACACCTCCGTTTGCTCGATCACATACTCTGAGCATATATTGGATACGAATGTGACGTCAGCGTTCGGCGTGAACTCGGATCCAATCACGCGCCTCATGCTCAAGCAATGGCGACCGCCAATGTTGCTCGACGGACTTTTGAAAAGGAGTTTATTCGCGATCGTTTTGTTTAAAAAATGCGGCTAGGGCGCCCTGAAACTCTGGTAATATCGTATCGCACCGTCGCGAACCGTTTCAGCATTTATGGAAGCCGGAACACCCGTTTCCTGCAGTTTAAGATAAAGCTCGAGATAGGGGCAACAATTAAGTTTAATAAGCGCCAAGATTGCCGAAGTGTCCGTACTCTGACGCGTAGTTCTTAGTAGTTCTAACAGTTTTGAAGTTCTTACCAGCGGTTCGTATACGGTTTTGTATTTCTCGTGAGAAGTTCCTGCAAGATCTGGTTGTCGAAGGAAGGAGCGATGCCTTTGGCGTTGGAAACGTGTACGTCTTGATAAGATAACAAACATCTAATCCAAAGTGCGCTTACACAAAATTTAGGTTTCTCCACATAAAGCGGGGAAATTACTAATGATCCGTGAGAAGCCGGACTCTTTCTTTGCAACGGTTCTTCAGGTGAAAACGAGTATAGGTGCAAACACACGACTAAAAAACATTTCCCGCTGTTCTCATTACATAAAACTACTGTGTGGTTTCTGACACCTTCCCACGCTGCGAAGTTGTTGGGTTTTTTTGTTTTTTTTTTACAGGGCTCGTGATTGTTATAGTTTTTATGTTAATTTAACCACAAACGTGTGTGTGTGTTTTTTTTCTTTTTTTAGTTGTGAGGTGTCAAGTAGACAACGACCTCTTGTGGACGACACGGGAAACGGATCAGGGTTTGAGGATTCCTGAATACGGTAAGCCGGCTATTCCTCGGTAAGAAAAAAAAAAAAAAAAAAGAAAAAAAAAACAATAAATAAAAATTTTGGCATTATACAATATATAATAATTTTATATACTAGAAATAGATCAGTGACAGGACAAGAGCCCAGGGGAAGCTCCCGCAACCCCTTTCCCATTTTGCGGAGCAACCGCTGGAGAGGATGCGACCTTCTCTCCAGCGCTCGGTCGCTCTGCTGAAGCTAAAAGGGGTGGGAGGAGTTTGGCCCTTGTCACCGACTATATATATATATATATATATATATCATGGCCTCGCACGTTTCCTATTAAATGCTTTTGAACCTGCTTTGTTATCATGGACGACTCACATTATTATCACCGATTTTAAAGGGAACGGATCGGCGTCCGTAATAATGAGATATACTGTGTGTGTGCAACACTGCACCGAAGATTGCGGCCAATACGAACAACTTTCAGGTCATTCTTGTCTCATTATTCATTTCAATCTACGAATGAGACTGAATTCAGAGATGCTTGCACACATTTTAATACAAAGGACAGACTCCATTTTTATTTCTTTTCATAAAGATAAAAAAAAAGAGTCGCGTGTTTAGACTTTGCATCACGCAATGGCGGTGCTATAGGGAAATAAATTGTTTGCACCTTGATAGTATTTCTGCGTGACACTCTTTCACTGACAGACCCCGTAACAAACACAGATTACGCTGCATCATTGTGAAAGATATCAATTTACATCATATAAATACTTTCTTTTTAGATTAGGGTGTGAAATCTGTTGTGAGACATACTTTGGTGCCCATATTATGTAATCACAGGTGACGAAGACAACGAGGTCATGGAGGTCTGTCCACGGACCAAACCGGGTCAAGATGATCTTCCTGGTAAGAACTTGTGACGTCTTTATATAAAAACAAATTATAATGACATCACTGACTTTTATGTACACTGTAAAAGCGCAACAGAAAGAAAAAAAAATGGATGAATAATTACGTATATGTGGTGGAATTTATACTTTATGCACCTGTGCGTATGATTCTATTTGCTCACCTGTGAACGTTTTGTACTTCTATTGGCTTCGTACTATGCGCTATCCTTGGAATTACTGTCGATACGTTCTACGTACGCTTTTATATGAAAGTTACGTTCTCTATATTATTGAAGACGTAGGATGAATCAGTGTTTAGAGCATCTACCTTAATGCAGTTTGAAGTATAGCTACATCGTGACAAAGTCTCGTAAACATTTTAATATATGTTCACTAGTATCACGAGGACAGCAACAAATAAAAGAAATAAGCGGAGACTATAGATATGTTCATTGAATTTCCTATTGATTAATCAATTAATACATTAATTGGCGACTGATTGTTTATTCTATTCATTGGTCAAACGTCAACCATTCCACTGGATAGTTACGGACATCATCTGAATCGCTGTCAAAATTAATACGGAAAATTTATTCACTGACGAGACGTCTCCTCCACCGATATGCTACCTTTTAATCACTTTTTGTAAGTTTTTTTTTTAAATTTATTTATTATTACAGGTCTGAGGAACAGTATGTAAGGTATTCCTTATTACGTGACGCAAATCTTGTCTACAAAACGTTTTGTCGCACCTTACACTTTTCAGGATACCTATAAATTCTAAAATAGCCTGGCCAGTCGACGTCAATCGAAAATATGAAGACATTTTTTTTTTGTCCTGTTTTTTTCTTCTTTTTTTTTTTTACTTTTGCCATTAGACCGAGGTATTTTAATGTAAGCCAGACAAACCAAAATGGTAAAATAAAATCGCTTCTTAAAAAAAAAAAAAAAAGTTCCGTTCCTGCATTGCTTCGATGACGTCACGCCGCTGCGGTGGGGTGGCGCAGCCGTCGTCACGACGCGTGCGCAGTGGCCACACCAGGTGTGAACGCGCGGCTTGTTGGCAAACAGCGCGTCGGCGATGCGTGTAACGTCACGTTTATAATTTCACTCAGACGCGTCGTCGTCCATTGATTTTCTTTTCAGGTTTCGACATGATTCGCAAGTTCCGGCTGGACGACGTCCAGTTTGACTTTCCGGGTGTGAAGCGAGTGGTGGGCTCCAACAGCCTGCAGACCGCGTACCGGCTGTCCAAGCAGGCAGAGCTCGTACTGCCCACCAGGTCGGTGATGACGCGGCAACGCCACCTCACCTGACAATAGAGTGGAAAAGATCGTGATTTTTTTTAAGATCAAATAAATTGGACATGGCTGATTCAATTCGCATTTATTTAATTTAAGTCAGATTTATTTTATTTAAGTCAGGTGTAATTTAATTTAGTTGGATTTATTCTATTTAAGTCAGGTGTAATTTATTTTGCTGGATTTATTTTATTTCAGTCAGATTTATTAGTTTAAATAAGGTTAATTTGTTTTAAATCACTGTAGCTCGAATGATGGTCATTTTTTTATCACATTATGTATTTTTAAACATTGCAGGCTAATAACCAAACTGTCCGATTACTCATAATAATGCGGAAGACAGAGTTGCTGTGAATTTAAAGTAGTTTACTTAACAACATTTTTCTTTTGCGTTCTGTTTTACGGAACTGATGAACGCAGCGGAAAATCGAAAGAAAGTTCAACGCTTCGATTGCTCGTGAAGAACACTGCTTTTTGCTCCGTCTTCTGTCTTATATATAATTATTTCTTCATCGATAATTATTTAATTTAAATATAAGATTAGGGTTCCGTGTTTTTGAAGAAAAACATTACTTCTCCTTCCCAGCGCGGCCAACCTCAGCGGTCGTTTGTTCCCCGATTTTTATCCGTAAATTTCCTAGGTCTATCTGGATTTTCAGAAAATGGCTCGATCATTTGCGTCCATATCTGGTGGCCATTTAACTGAACTCTGGAGCTCATCTCTTTGCTTAAACATGAAGCGGGTAAAAGTAGGACTTTTTAATACCCATATGTCGTAGGATAACGCGAGAAAACGTATTTTAAACCAAAAACCACCTCGTGTATGTCTGTGAAGCTTCGATGGAATGTCGTGACGACAACATGCTAGTTGGAGCAGCGCCACAACTTGAAGGTATAGTAAACCGGGGCGCTTTGGTGAAGATAGTAACAGCTGAGTTGGTTACCATTAGTTTTAGTATCGGGTGGTCTTTCTGGCAACGCTTGTTTGGAGTGGTTTGGCGATTTTGTACGCATGCTATGTAATATCGACGCCACGAAATGTGAATTTAAACGTGCCCGAATGCCCACCTCTCTTGATGACGGGATAGCCGCCTTGGTCGACTGCAACGAACTCGATCGCTCCGAAACAGGGATGTTCCATGAAGGTAATTTTCTCTTTTTCAGGTAATTTTCGGTCTGAATTTGGATGAAAAGGGAAATTGGAATTTTAACATAATTGGCAAGGAATTTTAAGGCTGAACGAGGAAACTTGGAAAAAGCTTTAGAGAGAACTACATATTAAAAAAAATACAAAAAAAAAAAACCTTGTGGTCCAAAAGTTTTAATAAGAGAAACTGAAAAAGTCGCGGTGTAGGAAGGAGAGGTGTCTGAACGACTTCTAGGAGCAGCAAAACAATGCGGAGCGCAACTTTGTCTGCTTCTTGCCCAGGGGTTGCAGAGACGTCAGAACCCCGAGCTCTGATTGAAGGATAGTGGGTAGACCTCAAGGCAGCTAGCTATCTTTCCAATCAGAGCCAATCACAGCTCGGCGTCTTTCTGACGTCATTGTAACCCCTGCGCAAGAAGCAGGCGAAGTTGCCCTCCGCATACCACAGCGAAACGTCTGCGTCTAAGGGTTGTACCATTTAGTCAATAAAAATACAAACTGACCAGTATCATTATCTTCTCTTTATACATGCGATTTCACGCGACTTTTGGGGTGAAATGCGTGCAAAGTGACCTTTCATGACCACGGAAATCAGCTGCTGCGAAAATAAAGGTAGAAAGAAATGTAGGGAAATATGCAGGGATATTTATAATTCTTCAATACTTCCAAACCTGCCCCATGACACGCATCGAGACTTTGTATAATACTTTCGATGCTTCATGCATTCACGTTTTTAACCCATCTTTTGCAGCGTTCAAGTTTTCTCTTAGAAATCTATAAATTTTTACCCATCTTTTGTAGCGTTCAAGTTTTCTCTTGTCAATTTGTAAAATTATTCTTTCTTTTGCTGTATGCTAATTGTGCATCATTACGAAAGCGAAAGCTGTTCCTGAGCACAAAAATGAATGAATGAATGAATGTATTTGGTAATTTTACAGAGTAAACGTACCTCAAATAGGGAATCTTTGTATCGAAGAAAGGGAATTCTTCGTCGACTGCAACGAACTCGACCTCTAGGAGGTCAACACAACTACCATGAAAACAAAGGTACAGAACACGGAGTCACACAGGCGTATGCGCAGCTGGATACACAGCGTGGACAACATCGAGAGTCCCGCATATGGTGCACCATCGAATCGACACTACCCAGATATAAGGCGGCAGGGGTCTAGGACTTTTCGGTGTAGGGTGTTTCGGCGTAGGACGTTTCGGCGCGGTCTTTTCGGTGCACGGACTTTTCGGTGAACGGACATTTCGGTGCACGGACATTTCGGTGCGTATATAGAATAATCTAAACACGATATTTCATTTTCTCCAAAGTCTTGCGGACTGCTAAAAAAGTGACATCACAAAAGAGTTTGGAAAGACTATCCATAAGTATACGATTAATTTCAATGTTACTTTTATTCTAAACTTTGGGTGGCAAAAATACACATAAAAGAATAAAAAATTCCCCGTTTACTGATTCTTTTTTTTTTTTTTTTTTTTTTTTGGGGGGGGGGGGGGGTTGTTGTTTGGTCATTTACATTTTGATGAGTTTCAATGGCAGTTGTCTTTTGAAGTTTGCGACTTAGAAAATGACCGTTTTCTACTCACTAATGGTGAATTTATTGGTCGTTTTGGAGCTCGCCGGGATCAGTAAACTAGATCCTATAGATGGAGCACGCGATCCGAACGGAGTCGCTCCACCTCCGGATTCAAAGTGGAACATGACCACTCCTCCAGGATAGGCGGATGCCTTCTCGTCATTCACCTTCCAGTGGTCCCGGATCTTGAAGCACATGTTTTCGCAATAGCCTGCGCTAACAACACATGTTCAACGCGCGAGCGAAGTTAAGCATGATGTGAAAGATGTGTGTCGTTAAGCGATGTGCATCAGCGTAGCCCGTTTGCCTCTTCATCGGAAAACTCGTGAATGGTGTCCAAGTACATCTCTTATGCGGGCAGTAGACCCGCATAAGGTCTACTGCCCGAAAGGCAGTAGACCTTATGCGGGACATAGAAGCAATCCTCGTTGTCACTGCTACTCGAGCCGCTGTTACAGGAGAAGCTCCTCGAGCAACTTAGCGACAATCTGTCATCAAGCAGCAGCAGCAGTAAAACGGACGGCACTTCGCGAGCGGTCATTACGAATTCTTCCTACGCGAGATGCCCGGCGAGAAAGGAAGCCACGTGTGTGCGCCGAGGACTGGCCAGGGTGGCTTCCGATCGAATCCGCCGAAATCGGCGGAGCGACGTTTGTCGGATCCGGGTTAAGATCCGTAGGGGGAGCTGATCTGAAACGACGCGTGGAATATGCCCGTCTCGATCACAATCGCCCAGCGAAATAGGCACGCCCCAGAAAAGTCGATCCCGGCGCGCTCCAAAACTACCTGTGGAATAGACCGATCTCACAAAGTGTTCGGCGCATGCGTGGAGCCGCCATAACTTTAGTTCTCAGGAGGCAGGCGGGAGTGCCCCAGACGTCTCGCACCCTGCACGAGCAGCGCTCCAGCGAGGTTATTGCCTGTGCAGAAAGACTAAAGTTCCCTCGATGCACTGCGGCAATGGTGGCGCACCCAAACTCTCTGGTGAAATCGGTCTATTCGCCATAAGTTAGGAGTCGTTTCTATTTCCAGTCGCTATCAAGCAAGAACCGCGCGCGCAGGAAGCAAGCGCGTGTTTTCTGCAGCTTTCTGCAGATTACGGAGTAACCTACGTCCTCCTTGGACCAGTCATACGCCTAAATTTCAAATCTCTTTGTACAGATTTTATGCAGTGTAGACTGTCGGACTCTTCAGGCAAGTTGAAAACAAAACTAACTTGACAGGAAAACGAAAAGAAAGGCCAATAATGAAAGAACAATTTAATTTCTAACTCCACCTCAAGTAGCCCAACAAATTTCCTTAGACAGGTGACCTTTCCAACGAGCTTCCTGTTCCGCAAATTGTCGAGTGACTATACAGCTTATTTGAAAAGTTGGAATTCGAATATTCTTCGATAGATCAGCTTTCGGCGAGTTGACCGGGTCCCCCACAAGGACCTGCAATATCAGTTTTATATGGAGTTTATTTAGTGACAGAAGTGCTTGTAAATTTGGCTGCTGTTACGTTTTAGAGAATTAACTCCAGAGAACCACATTTTCAATATAGCTTCATCGAACTATACTGGCGCGAAATGTTTGGCGAGTGATTCTCCTTTTTCATTGTAAAAGCTTGATCATTGGCTTGTTCTCAACTCAGCCATGGTTTCATGTCCGCGCTTTTAATGATAATAAAATCATATACTGCAAACGATTTAAGTTCCGAAAATTTAGTGATTCACCCACAACTCGCCAAAAAAAAAAAGCTCCCGCGAACAATTCTCGTAAAATGTAAACTGATTAGAATCTATATTGAGATCCCACCGCGTCGTGAAAATTAGAATCGGGGAATTATACCAAAACTTCAGCTTTGACCTAAATCGCGAAATATTGAGCCCGCGAAAAATATGTCATTTATTATATACGTTTTGGTGCTACTTTGTAGCTCTTAAAGTTCTCTGGCCACAACTGCAAAGAAAGAAAACAGTGAGCCTAGAATTTTGCTTAAAACTGTTGCTCTCGGAATACAATGAAAGAATAAAACACGTAAAGGGCGAACACAAACACACACAGAAATGTGTACGTCTGTGTTCGTCCTTTGCGTGTTTTATTCTTTCTGTGTATTCTGTAGTGTTTCAACGCGCTGTGCTACGTGCACTGTTTGCTCTCATTAAAGAGGTTGCACGCTGTATAAAAAAAAAGTAAAATACAGTTATAAATATAAAATTTAATTGCAATCTTAAAAATAATTCAAGGCACATATTTACACCGAAATGTCCGTGCTCCGAAAAGTCCGTGCACCGAAAAGTCCGTGCACCGAAAAGTCCGTGCACCGAAAAGTCTGTGCACCGAAAAGTCCGTGCACCGAGAAGTCCTTTCATCAGAGTTTATTTTTAATAGATTCCAAATTCTCCCAAATTCAGAGTTTAAATTTACTTTGCTCTTTTTTTTTCTTCAAAATTTAAAATATTCTTTGGACAAACGTACACTAAATAATCAAAAGATCACAATATCAAAACACATTCCGGAAGCTGCTTTTGACATTGGTGCCCTTAAGACTTGCAGGACTACTGTCCCACGACAAATCTTGAAAACAGGTGTTACTTCAATAAATGTCGGTACTTTGAAATAGCCAAACTCCTGGACGCATAACGTATTCAGCTGCGCTTCTCATCCTATGAAATCTTACAGGTTCACAGATTCACTGTAATAACAAACGACCCCTCCTCTCTCTAAGAAGCACAAACCGAACCGAACTGGAAACTAGAACAGCGGTTCTTGTCGTGGTCCGGAAGCACTTTGGCCCATTATATATCTGTATGAACATTGACGAGATAAACGGGGGACTCTCTTTTGCACGAGTTAAGGGGGAAAACTGAATTTGCCTCTCATTGCTCACTCTGTGATCTGGCAAAATTTACTCGTGAAATACCGTATTTATTTCTTTTATTTTGCCATTCTCAAAATTCGGAATTTTTCGGATAAATCCGAATGATCGAACATTTTACCGGCGAGCGATTTTTCAGAGTTTATCGGATTTACGCGAAAACACGGAACCCTAAATGTGCCGCACGCGCTGGCGCTGCGTAGGTGAGGTACTATATAGAGAATCCCGAAATACGGATTTCTCTCTAGGTGGTCCCAACTCCAACGAAACGGACGGCACCTAGAGGGGAAAAAAACTGAACTGGCCGGAACAGGTCCATTCGCGATCTCTGCTCGTCTCTCGTGGCTTCCGTGACTGCATGTTGTCGGCGGTTGGCGCGAAGGCCTCCGAAATAAAGCGGAGAGGGTTGCGTTGGTTGTGTCTACAGCAACGAAAAACGGCACCAACGACAGGGCCGCAGGAGAAATCGTGACTCGTAACGGCCTAACAAATTGGGTGCGCCTTGAATTGCTTCTCATGCGGTATACATAGGGCGAACAGTCGTCCCAGCGGGTGACTCTGTCAATATTGTTGTATCAGCGTGTTGCCAAAATTGAGCTGAGCGGGACTTACGCAACCGCGCGAACCAGACATTGCATGTTTATCAACGTTCATTATCGCCCTAGAAGGACGGTAGTCCATCGATTGCTTCCCCAAAGAAGGCTAAACCCCTAATTCATAGATGTGAGCTGGCTCGCGCCAACATACCACTTCATGTGTTTAACGTAATGGATAAAAATCCGGGCAAACTTGAAGCCAATACTTACAAGAACATTGTACGTTGATCCTGCATATATGGCACGACACGACCTGTTGTACATCTGGCCGCCACACTTGTCGAGAAGTGGCGACCTCTACAGGTTGCTGGAGTCGCGAATGAGCTCCCCTCGTTCCAGGGCCATCTTCCCTCTGGGCCTGCCCGAAGAGTTCTCGTTCGTGACCACGTTCCGCAAGCGCAACACCCGGAGGGACCCCTGGTTCCTGGTGCGCGTCACGGACGTGGCCGGCTCGCCGCAGTTCGGCCTCAGCGTGGACGGACGCAAGAACAGGCTCGAACTATACGCCCAGGACGTGGCCGGCAAGAGGCAGGTCTTGCGCTTCATGAACGTCAGGGTGAGCACACCGAGAACCACGGAGTTGATGTATTACATCTACCGCGTAGGTCAAACGGATCGTCGGCTGTTTGAATTAACCGCATAAATCGGTTCCTTAACGTATCGCACTAGGATTTACCGCAGAGGTGAAGTCAAGGTGGTGGATCTTGTGCATCAAAATTTCATCGAACAAACTTTCGCCAGTAAAAATTTAGAAATCAAGAAGTGGAAATCGCTACACACGGCGTCCCTCTGCCAGCAAAAGGCGTCCGAATTCGTCAGCTTTTTCCGGCCATCCGTCACTTTCTTTCTCGTTCTTTCTCTCAAGACCACCGATGTCAGCGCTTACAATCTTCTGCGGTCTGCTTCCGTTTTTACCAACCTGCTGAGACCTGGACTACGATAAATACGCTTCCTTTCGCCTTAGGATAAATCGCAGAATACCCCTACAAGTCCTCGAAGTCAATCCCACGTCATGTGAGCTTCACGTGACCTTCTGGAGGGATGCAGCAATGGGTGGGGCGTGTCATCACGCGATACCTTCACAGCTCTGGGTTGGCTGATGCGATTCGTATGCGGATCGCAAGTTCGTCTGCTTCTTGCACAAGGGTTGCGATGAATCCAGAACGCCGAGCTCTTACTGGCTCATTGAAAAACAAAGGGAGGTAGACCTCACAGCGTCTAGTATTGAAGTCTACCCACCACCCTTTCAATCAAATCCAATCAGAGCTCGGCGTCGTTCTGACGTCACCGCAACTCCTGCCAGAGAAGCAGACGACTTGCTCTCCGCATAATGTCCTCTACTGACTCGAAGGTTATCTCAATGTTCGTCATTCTAACCGAATTTTAAGTCGGTATCTAGAGGCAGTTTCGCGCATGGCCTACATTGCAAGGCTCCACCTACTTTTGAAACGATAATGACGCTAAAAGAAAGATCTGGCGGGTTAAAGGAATACTGACACTGCAGGGTATTTATGCTCGTCAAGGTTTTTATTCGTACATGACATATATGAGAGCCCAACTACCTAGAACACAATTTGCGGCTCGAAATTCGTTTTGTTCTCGTCCCGAGAACCGCCGATCGAGAACTGGCCGGTTTGAGTCGCGCTCACTTTCTTCTTTGTGGTCACGTGCCGTTTTATGTGGTTTAGACACAACCACCAATTATGATCAAAGTCGTGGGTCATTAAAAGCACATACTCAATATTTAAAAAAAAAATTATTAAACCAATTGTTGTGGCTTCTAGAAAAATGCAAATACGTTGATCAAAAGGGGAAAAAAAAAAAAAAAAAAAAGGCTGCACAGCCACATGACTTCCGGCAACTCTCTCCTCTGTATATTTCTCCTTCCTCCCCAGTTCAGTTTCGGTTTCGAGCAGTTGCGTTTCCTTTTTTTTACTTTATTCAAAATATACGTGATAAAATATTGCTGGGGTTGTCTTCCAACACCATGATAAATTACCAGGCAAAAAAAAAAAATAATAATAATAATAAGAGAAAGAAGATGTTTTGGAGGTTTTTAAATTATACTAATTTTTGAAATACAAAATCGCTACTCTTCTTTTCCTGTTGTTTATTACACCTGAATTAAGAACAGCTACTAAGAAAAACGGCGAATATAGGTGATGCCAAAACCAACCTAAATTTTTTACCGCGCTCTCTTGCGGGGTGACGTAACATGTCGTTTAACTTGCCAGTCGAGTAGACAGTCTAATAAAAGCACACTGTTCTGCCCGTGTTTTTTTTTTTTTTACTAGCGTGAGCGTAATCTGCAGCATTCATTTTACACCATTAAACCCGTACCTGTATAAACCTGTAATGCCCCATATTGCATCTGACGTCACGTTCACAGTGTTGCCAGTCGAGCCTCCCAGACAAAATGTAAAACTTACGTAACTTCGCGAAAAAAGAAATTGCGCACAATTTGGGTTACTATTTAATTCGGACGTGTCTATCAAAACGTGTTTTACTCTTAACTCAGGCACAGGTATGAGGTCGAATTTTTAAAATTTTGACCAAAGAATACATGTTTTGGGGTCATCCTTGAAGTGGAAGAGAGCGGAACAGCAAGCTTGGCAGATTTTGTTCTCTCCCTCCCCCCCCCCCCCCCCCCCACACACACACACACGCACACAAACAATTTATTGACAATCGAAGCGGCCGAGGAGAAAAAACTGACGTTCTTTTGACATGTCGGGAATCGCGTGTCATTTTTGTTTATACAGCCAGAAGTCATCTCCAAGGGGCGTCTGGTGTCTCATAGCTGTAGACGAGAAATTTAATTAGTGCACTACGACCGCTCGCCTGGGGTCCCTTTAACGCGCATCACGCATTTGTGATACACGAGTGTACGCCGGCACGATGCTCATCCAGATCGAAACGGGCAGGGCTGGGGATTGAGCGCAGGATCTCTGGGTTCCGCAGCTCGAGCTTTCACTCCACGTGCACCTCCGAGCTCATGTGCGCTAGTAAACTCGGCTACCGATCCCCAAACGTTATATTTTTTTTTTCTTGAAATACTGCTTTTGGGATTTGAGACTTGAGTCTCTTTTTTGACACTCTCGAAATATATAGATTTAATTATACTTAATAAATGCTCGAATATTTTCTGATGTACATTGTAAAACGGCATGCCGATTTGCGTAACTTTGTGCTATATATAATTTTCTTCGCATTTCGCACAATTTTCTTTATTTTAACCTTACGTGTTAACTAAAGTGTTATTATCAGGTAATTAATGATATCCACGCCACAATGTTGGCCAGAATAGCGCCTATGCGAGGACGCAGTCACAAAACGAAAGGCCAAGATTGAAAAGCTTTAATTGCGTTTATACAAACAAATTACTACATAGGTTGTTCATGATTATTTTTGATAAACCGCATTCATATATTGAGACTAGTAAAACACAAAACAAGGAAAAAAATATTTATTTTTCTTCTTTTATTTGGTTTTGCATTTGCTCGATATTCTAACGTTTGGTCATTCAAAATATATTATATTTTTTACATACCATGTTGCATTTGTACTCATTAAAAGTAGCTAAGTTTGAGTTCCCTGGTGATGAGAATCGGTCATTACAATATCTTAAATAGGTAACCCTTAAGAACCTCCTAAACTTTGTCAAAAATCATCAAAGGAACACAAATTAACAATTAAAGAAAAAAGACTATAAAAATATATTTTTTAGTTTATTAGGCACAATTATGTCGTTTTTGAGGATGTCACAGAGGAGTTCGGGTGCAGTATGTCGAAAAATAACGAAATAGCGAGCGCTCAAACATGCGGTTCTCGACTGTTAAACGTTCAACCTCGGCCGCCTCAATTATAAATGGCCTGGGAAAATAAACCCGCCAAGTTTGCAATCCGCGTTCTTATTCATATCTGAAAAGCTCCCAAAACAAGGACTTGTTTAGGGTCAAGAATAGAAGAAAAAAAATTTAAAACCTTACTTGAATTGAGATGTGTACGTTTCTGCCTCCGTCGGGAATCGATGTTTGTCCGCTCGCCATTTCGTACCTTCTCAAACTTCTGCTCTATGAGTCATAGTTTAGGATATTATAAAAATAATGTCGGTGATCTTTGGCAAAGTTTGGCAAGTGTTTACGTGCGACCTACTTATATTTTAATTACCTTGACATCACCAATCGTTCCTTGCTCGACATCACTGGTCGGTAATACACGGTAATGGTATCTTGACAGGTCTAATACTGTACATGGTCGATAATAAAAGTTTATGAGAAATAACACACACATTTATAGATATATATATAATGAACATTATTTTTCATCAATATGGCGGCCAGGAGCTTCGGTATGTAAAGTACAGCTGACAGAAGATAAAATTGTGAGGGGAGTCTCTCCGTCAATAGTCGCTTTCTTTTCCCTTTTATTTTACGGATCCATCATCGTGTGGTTTCCGTGGTGTAATTCTACTTCCGGCCGCCGAAGCGTACGGACGTACTATCATGAGCTCCGTTGGAGCGGTTCCAGCGGCCGAGCCTGGCCGCGGTATCAGGAGTGCTGACGCTGCATCTCAGGATTACGAACTTCTTTTGCCGACGCTGCCGTCAGGACCGTCCGTTCAGAACACCGTTTTTTTACATGCCGACGTGAAAGCCAGGCCGTACCGTCTGGAACACTTTCGAGACGCCCTCGCACTGGCGGCACTTCTCCCCGAGGTGCTTGCCTTGGGGGCGTATCAGTATAACCATGTGTGGGCAGTGACCTTCAAAAGCGACGAGGGGAAAAAGAGGCTGCTTGCAGCTGACGAGTTTAAGGTTAAAGACCGTCGCTGCGTCTTGGTGGACCCGTGTAACCAAGACGTCCGTTTGAAGCTCCACTGGCTGCTGCATCACGTCCAAGACGACGAGGTACGTGCGGCCCTGGCACCCTACGGAAAGGTGACGGGGGTTACACGGGACAAGTGGCGCGTCTCAGGATGCACAGACATGGCTTCGACGACGCGCTCGGTATCCCTCAAGCTGAAGCCCGGAGTCACGGTGGACGACCTCCCCCACCAGCTCCGCATCGCAGGTGACCTGGCGCTGGTGGTGGTGCCCGGCAGGGCGCCACTTTGCCTGCGGTGTAAGGGCAAGGGCCACATCCGACGGGAGTGCCGAGTGCCGCGCTGTGCGCTCTGTCGCCGCTTCGGCCACGACGAGAGCCAGTGCGTCCGTACCTACGCCAGCGTCACGGGACCCATGGGGCTCGATGATAATTCAGAGCACCTCATGGACGTTGCAGACGCCGAGGAGGCCGCATCGGGTGCCTCGGACGGGGCAGACGTCAAGCCGGCATCGGAAGCCGAAGAGAAGCAAAGCAAGGTCGACGCTGCATTGGGTGCAGACGCTACGCGGCACGCTGGGGAGCCTGATGCTCCACCGGCTGAGAGGGCTGCAACGAGCAGCGTAGAAACCAGCGTCGTCGAGAAGTCTGCCGTCGACGCGACCATGCTTGACGATGAGGCCTCGGCAAGCTGCCCTAACATCAAAAGGTCTCGCGAGGACGACGTCACGA